GCAGCAGCAGCAGCAGCAACAACAACAAAACGACGACGAGGGCAACAACAACTGTAACGAGACTCACCCTGTCGTTGGGGAAGGAGTTAGATGGAGCCCCATCAATAGAGATGTAGCCGCCCCATTGCACATTCAAGCTGGCCATCTGTCCTAAAATACTCTGTGGAGGATAAAGAATGAAGATACATATTTTATTTTAAAATTCCTCGGTCAAAAAACAGCACAATTAAATTATTCCTTTGAGTCGTAACAAGGTTTAGTACAAAACGTATTGTCCTTTGATTCACATAAAAATAATAGTACAATTAGCTCAAGTATTCGAGTTGTAACAATACTATGTACTAAAAATGTTGTCCTAGTATGATTAAATCAGTTGATAAGGAAGTACTCGAAACAGCTGAGGCAAAGGGGTGAAAAGAAATGATGATAAGAACAAAACATTTTAATAGAAATAACGAATGTTTTACACTCCTTCTATCACAAGCCAGCTTATTGGAGGCGGGCTACTTCGACCGTGTCGGTCAGGGCGAACTGAGCTGTATGGGGCACATTTCATTGTCATGGTCGGTGCACTCTTGAATAGTGAACTTTTACCTGTAGACTACCTCGAAAGACGAATAAGCCGGCTCTTTCGAATAAACGTTAATTTTTTTTCTTTCATGTAATTTCGTCGAGAGAGATGGGGTACTTTCCTTACACTGAATCGAACCCATGTCCTTTGCGTGCAATGCAAAGATCCCAATCACCACAACATAAAGACAAGTAGGTGTAGTGATAAACAAAGACAGATTACGATTTCTGTCCGGAGGAAACCAACCGTTGTATACAAACTATCTTTGGAAAAGAAAATCTTGGCTGACCAGGCATGACGTTCCTTACGAACTTGGATATTTTAAAGAAGTTTTTTTTTTTTACAACTCCATTGACACAATTTAGATCATTTAGGAGGCCTGCTTCATCCCTGCTTGTCTGGACCAACTCGGGCTTAGACTTAGAGGGATGCAGCGCCCCAGCAGAAAGACCGAAATACATGTACTCGATGAAGATTCTCCCCATACGCGAATTGAACTCAGACTTCAGCGTGCGATGGCGAAACACTTTCATCATAGACGCCGGTAACTCGAACTTAAACCGTTGAACAACCAGCAACAATAGAATATTCTGGTGTTTTCAACACAACCAAATGGAGTGATGCCCCCGCCTTAGCTGCAGACAGATCTTCCTGGCCATCTATGATTGCCTAACTATAAACGCGTCTCTAGACGTGGGGGTCTCTTAGTCTAAGTAAGTTCTACACAATTGAATTCGAACAAGGAGGGGATTTGGGAGGGAGAGGGGGGGGTGGTTACGTCCTTCAATCGCAACTGCAGAACCCACCCTTATTTCCCGCACTCGTTTAAACGTACCCTGAGAGTAGATCTGCCCGTTACTTGACCGTTGTCCACTATCAGGTAGGAGGCGGTCAGACTAGCGAACTGGACAGGGGTTGGGGTCAGGCTGAAGGTGAAGGACACGGGAACACCCCATGTGATCCCTCCTCCTCTCAGAGCCCGGATGAGATCGTAATCTTCGTACGTTTTGACTTCTCCTGAAAGAATGAAAGTAGGAATGGTTGAGGTTACAGCTACAGCATAAGGTTATCTTGTTCACGTTGTCTGCAGAAATACTCATCGCAATATTTGGCACAAATAAGACCATTTTAAATGTGGGGTGTTTTAGGCCTAGACAACAACAATAACAACAACAACAACAACAAAAGATACAACTAAATATACAACAACTACTACAAACACAACAACAGCGACGACGTCAACAAAAACAACTATACCACATATTATTATACAACCATATTCACGAATCAATATTTACAATAACGACAATCACAGCAACAGCCCCAACAATAACAAAAACAGAAACAACAATAGCAACAACAATAACAACAACAACAGCAACAACAACAACAACAACAACAACAATAACAACAAAAATACAAAAACAAAAAAACTGCAAAAACAACAATAACAGCGGCAATAACAGCAAAATATAAACAGAAACAACAACACAAACAGAAATAACAGCAACAACAACAATAACAACAACAACAACAAGCTACAGCAATAAAACAACAACCTCATCATCATCAACAACAACAACAACAACAACAACAACAACAACAACAACAGCATCACCCCCACCACCCCCAC